CGAAGGTGTCGCGGCGGAGGGGGACAGCGTGGCGTGTCCCTGCACAGCCTCGATGGACTCCTGTGCCCCGCGCGCCACATGCGCGAAAAGCCTCCCGCCGTGCCGACCTCCCGCCAGGTCCTCCAAGCTGGTTACGCTGGGCCGAAGCCTCGTTCCCCGTCACCTCCTCCACACCAATTTAGCTGCCAATTCGTATCCGCCCCACTTCCATTTCTCCCACCTCATGGTCGGGCCCCCCAGTCCCTGCCCTCCCGGGCTGCCCACCCTGCACATCATCATCTTCTCCCTGTCAAGTCTTTCGGCCGCATCCTCCCACCCACCTCGTGTGGCCCGCGCTGGGACCACCCTGTGCCTTGTCTTCCCCACTGCTTGCCCACGTAGTACCATCCAGCTCGCTCTGCACCAGTTTTTCCACAAATCATCCAGCACGTCCCCTCGATTAGCCCCTCCAGTTCTTCCCAAACTCCCAGCCACTGGACCCTGCCTCCTTCTCCTGTAGTTGTGCGGTTCCTACCCCTGCCCCTCTCATCTTTCCATTCACCTTACTTTCTTCTAACCTTCTCTGAAACCTTTTTCATTCCCTCCATGTCACCACTCTGCTATTGCAAGCACTCTTCACTGCTTTCTCTCCGTCAGTGTGTCCATCTTCCTCACTTGCTCTCTCCTAGTCCAGTTCTTTCAAGTGCAGCAGCCCCTAGCCTGTGACTTGCAGATAGCCTGATGCGTGCAAAACTCCAGTTTTGTTACAGCCATGGGAAGGAATAAAGCGAAAATTGGCTGCTGAAGTGTGATGCTGATGCTAGCCCTGGAAAGGTATTTACTTTGTGCTCTTGGGTCAGCCAAGACTGGGGGGACACACCTCTCCTAACAGATTTCATCCCGTTTTTCTAGCTTCTTGTCATTCTTCTGTCCAGGATCTAACTGACAATTTTCTCCCCCCTCCTCATCTTCATCTTCTGTTCTCTAAATCAAGGTCCATCCCTCATGACATCCCTTCAGATACTGCAATTACTTGCATTTCAAACAAATGGGACGTATGGAGGGGGAGAAAGCAAGCTGAACTTTTTGGTTACATTGTTTTCTGTTTTATGGACTCACTCCCCACATATCCCTGTATACATTACATAGGGTTGTATGCTTGTGCATTCTTTTTGAGTTTGCTGCTTGAAAACACAGATCTTAACTTCTGCTGTGTCTTATTTGTAGGAGTGCTGTTTTCTCATGAAAATATTCAATGGTTTTCCCAAATTACACAAACAGATGCAGGGAAATATGTTCTCATAAAACAGGAACAGTATCCACCTGCAGAGAATCACACTGGCAAAATTCTGTGCATGTAAAGCCATCCCTAAGACCATACAGAAGAACTTAACTTTATGCATTAAAGCCTCTGCACACACAGAACAGAAGGTATCAAAGAGGGGACATTTCTTTTGAATAACAGAGTGGGCAGGCACTCCTCACATTCCCAAAGCCATATACGGATACCAAAATGACATCACCACAAATGTTTCCATTTCTTGTCTTACTTTAACTATTCATTCCCCCTTTGTGGTACGTACAAAGTTTGCAATGTGTGCATCACAGCAAAAATCATTC